AGAAATGTTAATCCTGTGTGAGCTCTAGCCTGCTGGTTTACAGCCTTTCCTAAAGATTCAAAAAAAAGGGGGGCAGGGGAGTAAGGATCACACAAATACCCACAGCACTAATACTAAGACCTAAAAGCACAAAACAAAGCAACACACACAAAACAGAACAAAACAAAGATACGACAAAACATCAACAAATGCTACAGAATCAAACAAAGCACTGACCTGAAAATACATTTTTTTTTTCAATATGAGATGTTTTTTAGAGGGGTAGTAGCAGGAATGAATGGGAACGTAATAAAGTAGAAACTAAGTTTATTTAAAGTTTTAATAGAACAGCAGAATAATCTTTTACTCAAGATAAAAGGAGAAATATTTATTTTGGGCAACATTATGAATTCCTGTATTATATCTACATATTAGAAAATAGCTTCTTTAAGAAGTCTTCATTTTTCTAAAATTATCCAACTATCAGACAAAACAAGGTCAGCAAACTTTTTCTCAAAAAGGCCAAATAACAAATGTTTTAGGATCTGTGAGCTAAACGTCTCTGTGGCAACTACTCAACTCTGGCATTGTAGCTCAAAAGCAGGCACAGAAAAAATGTCAAAGAATGAATGTGGCCATATTCTAATAAAACTTTATTTATGGACACAGTAATCTACAAATCTTGTTATTTTCAGTGCTCACGAAATATTCTTCTTGTTATTTTTCTTCAATCATGTAAAAATGTGAAACAACATTCTTAGCTTATGTACCATACATGCAGTGGGCTAGATTTGGTCCAGGTTGTTGTTTGCTGAACCCTAGGTTAGACATTGATTAACACAAATTGTAAGAAATAAAAGATGAGAAGACAAAGCTCAAATTATCTTTCTTTCTTCCCTTCTTTCTTTCTCCCCTCCCCTCTCTTTCTTTCTCTTATTTATTATCTATCTATCATCTATCTATCTATCTATCTATCTATCTATCTATCTATCTATCATCTATCTTTCTATATCTATCTATCTATCTATATCTATCTATTTATTATCTATCTATCATCTATCTATCTATCTATCATCTATCTATCTTTGCATCTGGCAATACACAAAATATAATGAAGTAGTACCAGGGGACTGGAGGGTCAGATTACCAGCCTCTCAAACTCAGCTGATATAGTAGTACACCGTAAGGAACTAATTGTAATGGTTAGCAGGCATTGGGCCTATATAACTACCATGGAGATTCTGGGTGTGACAAAATTATTCATAATATTCAAAGTGAATATAGTTACATAATATCCTATTTGTATTCCAATTAACTGTCATGTAAGTTGTTTTTTTTTTAATGACATCTTTTTTGATAACTAATGTCTTCATTGAATTCCTCTGAAATTTCCAATAATGGTAAAGAGAGAAGGAAGAGATGAGAGAAGCTTGCCTCATGGCGATAATTGGAACATTATTATTTACTTATAACAGCTGAAAAGCTCTCTGGCAGTGAGGAATTTGGCAACACCATGACATATTATACCCTTCCTAAGACATTTAGAAATCCTTGGGAGTGGTGACCTGTGATTTTCCCAAGTTCCATTTCAGAAAAGGCTATCCTATTCACTTTTAGTAGCAAACAAGCACCGAGAACTCTCTTTTGAAGAAATTTCACCAGTAAGCCAAGAACTACTTGGGCAATACGTCTTTTATACCAATATACTGGCATTAGAGTTTCAGGTAAATTGAAATCCCTGCTTCTAAATTCTAGTGCAGTCTGATATGACCATGAGGCTAAGATTCAATGGTTTAGTAAGTTATCATCTCTTCAGAAAGATGCTGTTGGCAGAGGTATTATCATAGCATGTAGTTTCCCATTACAGTAGAGTCTTTCAGAGACTCATGTGGCTTTGTAAGCAATCATTAGGGAAGCTTCCCAGTACAGTTAAAAACATATGCCTAAATACCGTTTTCAAATATTTAAATACCAACATAAAAAGTCTATGTAAAGGTGCCAGATACTTATATGGTAAGAAAAGCCAAAGAATTTGTGCAAAAGTGTTTCTTACTGCCTTCTACAAAGTTTATAAAGATTTGAAAATTCCATCCACTAAATCTACATATTTTATGCAAATCATAAGACAACAACCCAACTGTGACATCAGAGTTCACATTTAAGACAAGTTCCAAAAGGAGGAAAAAAAAAAAAAAAACAGTCACTTTTTATGAGTAATATGAGATATTAGGGGGAAGTATGACTCTAAAATTACCACTTCACTTCAGGAATTTTTTTAAAAATGCAAACTCCATGCCAGATAATCTGAACTAAAGCTAAGAGCAACTCTTCAAAGTCATCCATATGGAGGTTACATCTTTGGAGAACACAGTTTATTTGCAAAATGAAGATGAGGTTTTGAAAATAGTTATGAATTCCCTTCATTATATGAGTAGCAGTGGATATGGTCATGATATTCAATTCATCTTCACAAATATTTATTGAGCTTACCAGGCACAGTGATATGCCTAGAGAGAAATTACATATCATGGAGAAATGGAACGTTGAAAGGAACGTGCAGTAAGAATACAAATATGGGAGACTGGATTAAGCACTGCTTCCAGAGTCTTCGGAGTGGATAAATTGAGTTTGAAGCATGATGTCTGAAATGTTAAGGAGTTACACAATTTGTGTTATCTAAAAGTAAGATGTAAATCAACAACAGAGATGTTGGCTGGGATGTGGAGAAAAAGGAACACTCAGGGCACTGTTGGGTGAGAAAGCATACTGATGTAGCCACTGTGGAAAACAGTGTGGAGTTTCCTCAAAAAGTTAAAAATAGAACCACCTTACGATCCAGCAATTACACGACAGGATATTTACTAAAGAATACAAAAACACTAGTTCAAAGGGATATATATCCCCCTCTATGTTGATAGCAGCATTATTTAAAATAGCCAAGATATGGAAGCAGCCCAAGTGTCCATCGATTGATGAATGGATAAAGAAGAGATGGTATATATACAATGGAATATTACTCAGCTATAGAAAAGGATGCAATCTTGCCATTTGCAACGATGTGGATAGAGCTAGAGTATAATGCTAAGTGAAGTAAGTCAGACAAATACTTGTGATGAGCACAGGGTGATGTATGCAAGTGTTGAGTCACTATATTATATACCTGAAACTAATATTAACACTGTTAACTAACTGGAATTAAAATAAAAACTTAAAAAAATTTTTTAAATAATAAAATAAAATACAAAAAAACAAGTAAGATGTAAATGCAAATACTGAGTTCAGGAAATGACAAGGACTAGGGATTTGGGATTTGTATGCACATAATAATTAAAACCAAATGAATAAATGAGATGGCCAAAGAATATGTAAAAAGAAGAGAACTGTGGACAGAATCTCGGGGGATACCTATGCTCACAAGCAGGAGGAAGCTAAGCTCATGAGGGAAACTGAGAAGAAACTTAAGTTACTTGTGGCTGAAGTGACAGGCAAAGAGTGATTCTACAATACCAAATGATGCAAAGAGGAGATGGAAGTACCTCATGGTTAAAGGTCATTGGATTTTCTTATCATGAGGACTTTGAACACCTTGGCCAAATCAGCAGGCTAGCAGAGGGTGAGCAATGGGTTAAGGTGTAGTTTAGTTTTGTATTCTGGTGTAAGGTTTCTAAGCCAAGGATATAGTAGAGAATGAAATGAACAAATAAAGTGAATAAGAAGATAGCTGATAAAGAAAGGTCCTGGAAATGGCAGGAAAGAATAAAATTGAGAACAGACTAGAGAATGGTTAGTCTGGGAAGGAAGGATTATTTCTCAGGTGTGGGGCAAACAAAGAGAGCATCAGTGAAACCACCGATATGTCCAAGTGTGAAAGAGGATATCAAGTCGTACATGTCAGCAGATTCTCAACCTCAGACCAATACAAGCTGAAATTATATGAGAGTGAAAGATTCAGATCTGGGGTTTTAAGTAAGAACAAAATAAGAAGTTCATAAGAAAGGTACACTTTGAAATTACTATTTAGCCAAGAAAATATATCCACATCTTAAACTGATTGAGTTTGAGTGCAAATTCATTTCTTAGCTCAGAATACTTATTGCACCATTGTATATCTTATAATGAGGTTTACAGACACATATCTTTTTCGTAAGCTAGTAGAGGAATTACCTAATTTCATAAAGTACTTCTGATATTGTAAGTAAAGAGATTTCATCACTCCCTGCAAGGTGGTCAGGAATGTTTGAAAGATGTTAATTACTGCCTGACTGGCAAACTAGAGTTTTTTCTCTTGAGTAATGGTTCTCAAACTTTAGTGTATATCGAGTTACCTGAAGGGCTTGTTAAAACACGGATCGCTGGGTCTTGAATCCCTAGAGTTCCTGGACTGGAGCCCTAAACTTTGTATTTCTAACAACTTCTTGGGTGATATTGATTTTGTTAGTCTGGGGAACACACTTTGAGAATCACTGCTATAAAGCCAGCCATTACACATTCATGTAGATCTATAAACAAGAGTATTTTTCACTCAACTTGTGTATTAAAGTAAATTGGCAAACTACAGTTATAAATGTATTAAAATACTACCATTAATATTTTCAAAAAAGCTATCTGTATTTGTTATTAAATTCACTTTTAAATGTTATCTAGAACTATCTATCATTATCATTATCACTGGAAAATGGCTCCACGTATTTGCTTCAGTTGAGAGGAACTACCCATGCTTAAAATTTCTTCCCATCCTTTCATTCGGCTCATAATTATTATATTTCACTATAATATGTGCCAGGGACTGTTCTAGGTGCTTTACATATATTAACCCATTTGTTCCTCACAATAACCCTATGAAGTAATTTATTTCATTAACTCCATTTTACAGATGTGGTAACAGGCATAGAGACATTAAATACCTCAGTGAGGGTCCAACAGACATCAACATTGGAGTCTCTCTGGTTCCAATATTATGGTCCTTACCTATTATGCTCTTCTGCTACACATTAAAGTATAGTTTGAGCTCAAATACTTACCTGTGCCGAGAAACAGGACATGGTATCTACCATCAGCAGCATTTACTCGGTCCACAGCTATCTTTGTGTACTTGTAGTCAGTGCCTATACGAACAATCAAAGGCCTTCTGTGGATTGGGTAGACAGAATTGTACATGAGAGGATGGTTCCGGATAAAAGTGACAACATCATCTGGGAATTCCTTAGTGGTCCGCATATTGGGTGTAAATGCTCCTCCTGGGCACTAATAAAATATTTTAAAAAGAACCAAGTTAGTAAATAGTTACTTCATTTGAGTGATAACCAAAAGCCTCTCCTTTTCAAAATACTTAGAGGCTTAAGTTGTTGTAAGTACAGATCCTCCTCGACTTATGATGGGTAATAATCCTGATAAACTCATCATAAATTGGAAATATTGAGAGTTAAAAATGCATTTGATACACTTAACCTACCGAACATCATAGCTTAGCCGAGCCTACCTTAAACATGCTCAGAACACTTGTATTAGCCTGCAGTTAGACAAAAATCATGTAACACAAAGCCTATTTTATAATAAAGTGTTGAAGAACTCATGTAATTTATTGAATACTGTATTAACAGTGAAAACCAGAATGGTCGTAAGTGTATGGGTTGTTGACCTTTGTGATCACATGGCTGGCTGGGAGCTGCCCCAAGAACCATTTGAGCAAGGCTAAGTCCACTGGTCCTACCCCATTTGTTTTCAGAGAGCAGTTGATGCCACTTTGTATATAACTTTTACCCTTCCCACCCATCACTTTTCTATTCTTATTCTGTGCCAGCAACAGTGTTGTTAGGGAAAATTTGATAATGATAATCTGTTTTGGCCAGTAAGCAATAATAAGATCTGAAAAAGGACTGCTGGACAGCTTCAGCAATTCTGAAAAGAAGGCATGACAAGGGCTTCTGGGGAGAAGATTCCATTTATAGGACATCTGAGGCCAAGCTCAGGGGTAGGCTGGGAGCTGCTAAAGCTTGGAACTCAAACTTATCCATTAATAGGATCCAAGTGTTAAGTTAGACAAGCGAAACTGTTAGGTATAAACTTTAACACATACACACATTTGTGTAATCCTATTAAATACTTGACAATATTTCTACTTTCAAAAACAAAAATACTTTGTCATATTTTCTTGAAAGAAAAGCACTTCTGTTATAGCTTTCATTTATTCTCTTAAGAGAGGTAGAAGGTAAAGGAAGGCAACAAAGCAAACTTTCTGATCAATAGCAATGGGTACAGCATCTGGGCAAACTGTAGGATGTAATGGGGACAGTAACAAACTGGAAAGTTGTACCTTATTCAAAAGTGGCAATGAACCCTCATTTCTAACTGATTGCTCCTGTGCAGGAATGTAAGCCTGGTGTGGCCAGATTTCAACAGAAAATAGAAATGTGGAATTTTATGTGAAATCTGCCAAAATTGTAATGCTAACTCAATGTAAAAAAAGAAAAACTTTAGGGACCCCCAAAACATGGCGACCTCTAGGTTAAACCCTTGCAACAGCTATCCCACAATGTTAGTGCCTCTGGACCAGGATTGTTGGGCCGACCCACATTTGCAAATAACTCTCAGCAAATTACTAATGTTGCCCCACTCACTTAGACAGTATTATACTGAATGCAATTTTTAGACTCACTTTGACCAGTTAACATTACTAGAACTTTTTACAGGACCAGTAAATATAGTTCTTTTTTATTTTTTTATTTTATTTATTTATTTTTTTAAAGATTTTATTTATTTATTTGAGAGAGAGAGAATGAGAGAGACAGAGAGCACATGAGAGGGGGCAGGGTCAGAGGGAGAAGCAGGCTCCCTGCCGAGCAGGGAGCCCGATGCGGGACTCGATCCCAGGACTCCAGGATCATGACCTGAGCCGAAGGCAGTCGCCTAACCAACTGAGCCACCCAGGCGCCCAGTTCTTTTTTATAGAAAGGCACAGGGAGCAATTAAATGACTTCACTAAGGAGAGATAATGAGACAAGTAATAAAAGTAAGCCGCTGATTCATTATCCCCTCAAGTGACTTTCATCTAGGGCTCATATGTTTTTCTTTTAGGAAAAAAGCATTATATTTAAATATACATGTTTATAAATTGCCCACAAAAAAGACCAAATGGGGACAAAGAATTTCATTTGAGGGTATTCTAAAATGATGGAAGTATTCCATGCTTCTGCAAAGTGTAGAATTATGGGTGTTCTCTACCCTCATTCCTCACACAAAGTGGAAAAAGGGAAATGTATTGCTCACTGAATGAAAAAATGGAAAGAACAAATGCACGGGCAATCCAGTTCCTCATAAAACACCACTAATTATGGTTTGCTAAGCTGAGATGTCTCCTTAAATATTTGCAAACATTCTCATTTGTCAGGTCCAGGAAGATCCAAAGTTAGCATATATTACTAGGCAATTTATATAATTTCCAGTTAGCAATTATTCTCATGTGCGATAAGGTTATTAAATTGTTAAGTGTCTAGTTTCTGGGTTTTACTTAATTTAAATTCAGTTAAAAATTATGTCTAATGTGCCCAAAAGTGTTCTTATTAAATAGGTAACCAAACAAATCAAATCAAATCAGTTATTTTATATTCATTCAAATGTCCCCCATTTGGAACTTTGGTTTTATGAACTTCGTGCTTAGAAACCAGTGTTTCACGGTAGGAGTATTTTCAAAATTACAAAAGAAGCCTTTTTGACAATAATTAATTTTTTCCATTGATTTGTGGCACAAACTTTGCAGATAAGACACAGGATGAGTGACAATGATTGTGACAAGAAGAAAAATGGATTACCCTTTGTAGATTCTCTATCTGGACTTGTGAGTTTGCTCAGTGTAACGCTACCAAGTATAAATAAGATGCGAATAACTTATCCCCCACCTTGTGATATGTGAAAGCATGTGTACTGAAATCTCAAGATAATATAACATCTACATGCTGCCATAAAATAAAGCCTCTGTCCATGAATGAGGCTGGTGTCTCATTCTTCGGAAGGCTGATTGAGCTCTACAAATAGTCATTAAGTAGTTTGGGTTAAACTTCTCCTTTAAGCTGTTGTTTTTTTTTCCAGTTCTAGCTTTCTGTTTATGGAGCAGTGATAAGGACTCCTTTTTTGAGTAAAGACATTTTAAGTGTTTTGATTACTAAAGTGTTGGGTGAAATGCTAGGAACAGTAACAATGCCATGTTAAGGAAATATCAGCAATTGTTGCCCTCAACTTAATTTCTTTCCTATTTTTAGGTATTCTTGACATCTGCCATCCTCTGATGCTCCTAAATCTCACATCCATGATCCTAGTTTTCAATATTAACATATTCATATCTTAATTCATGTATTTATTCTTTGGACACTTTTTATTCAAAAAGCATTTTGATGTGCCCAGTGGGAGACATAAGAAAAAGCCACCATTATCTTCTAGACATAAGTATTCTGGTATGGAAGATGGGCATCTTCAAAGCAAAATAACAAGGCATATAATAATAATTTAAGACAAATATAAAATAAATAATAAATCTTTGTTCATGATCAATTGCCATATGTGTGTAAGAGCCAATATTTTTTAAATGAATTCAGAATAGAGAGAACTCAAGGCTCTCAGGGTTGGTGAAAAGGTTTAGAGATAGAAAAAAAAAATTGGAATATTTAGGAAACTTTAATTCCTGGGGCATTGCTGGATCACAGAGCACAAAGTGGAAGAAAGAGGTAGGAGTTGAGGTTAAAGAATACAGAAAATAAAAGCAAAACTAGTCAGAGAAGGAGTGACTGGCATGGTCAAGGGGAGCTTGACCTAAACACTTGAAAGATGAGTGGTATATGGATAAATACATGGACATAAATAAATGGCATTCCAGAATCTGGGGTAGTTTCTGGCACTGGACTTTGAAACTTGTATTCTGAGAGAAACTGATCTCATGCTTAAACCCTTGGTAATCTAGGCCCTTTATTTAAAGCCTAAAGATTTACATAGCTGAAGACTTGTACTTATGCACCAGTTGGTCCTCATTTCACCTCCATTTATCCCCCATTGCTGACAGGAGTGTTCTGTTCCAGTCCTACTAGCTCAGACAGAGCTTCTAGAACTCACTTATTAATTTATATCTTATAAATTAATTATAATGTAAGCTGTAACTTTTGTCTGGACTATCATTCTTTCCCCACCCAAGTTATCCAAATCTGACTGCCTTTGGGGCCAGCTCAATCTCCTATTTTTTATATGCCTTCTCTACATAAGGCTGTCCCACGACAGTCTCTCTCTCACCTAGACTTCAATAGTATTTATTGTCTATTTTATTCATGTGTCTTGAATAATGATATGAAAAAACATATAATGAATTTTTCATGTCTACACACCTTATGTACTTAATTTTATTGTAAAGTTCCCTAACAAAGTTTTAAACATCTATGAAGACTAGAAGTAAGAACCACCAAAAGATGCATGGAATCAACAAAAGTACCAGAAATAAAGTTCTCTTTTTCTGGCCACCACTATGTGGGTCATGAATTTTTTGTGTTCTTTTGCTGCACCAGGTATCAGGCACGATGATGAAAGCAGATGGTTCTGGTCCACTTATAAATAGGTATTAAAACAGAACATTTTTATTAGGTTCTGCTTTAAACAGAAAAGTATAAGCAAAAACAATTTTCTATGGAAGCTTTATACATGTTGCAACAGAATAATGTAATGTGTTAGCTCAGCCACAGAGAGAATCTGCAGTCTTTGGCTGCCCTTTGCAACATACCAAAGGTGTCTTGTTTCTTCCACAAACTTGAATTACTTATGGAAAAACATTATGACACAATTGGCAGGCTTCTTCCCACTGACTGGGGCAGTTTGCTAACATAGCCATCAACCCTGCTTTAAGAGAATCACCTACAGGGAACATTAGAATAAGGGTATACAATTCCTGCCCCCCTGTCATTTCTTTAAGAATCCAGTCATGTATTTATGAGGTTGACCCGGCAACTGGACTACTGTGTAGGGAAATAAAGTAGAGCAATCACAGTTGATACTTCATGGGAGGACTTCAGAGGCAACATTTTTAGCCCCAGAGAAGAGGGACTGTTCTGGGTCACTTGGCTGTAGGTCTTCCTGCTACATCAGTGGGATATTAAACCCTGGAAGCCTAGGAAAAAGACAGACACTGGCCACTCTGAGTCAGACAGCTGAAACTTCCTGGTGTGTTGCTCAGGGAAGGGTGGAGGGACCAGATCTTCTGGGAGGTATGCTTTCCAGAAGGAGTTCCAGAGGTCTTCCTCCACCCTGCCTGTTTCACTCCCTAAGGATCACTCATCTGACAATTTTTTTATTTAAGGGAGCTGCTCTGGTCTCAGCACCAGATGTAAGAAACCACATTATAGAAATATGTCTCAAGGACTGACTACTCCCTTTTTTTCACGGTGTCAGCTCCAGATGTGTGTTACTAAGCCCTGGCTTATACCACGCTGTTTTACAACAGAAAAAAAACATGCTTATTCTTAGGAGCTGGGGAAATAGTGAAAAGTGGGACTGTTAGCAGAATTTTCTAATTTAGCATTGGTTTATTTTGTTGTACTAAAAGGGGTTATCTATTCCCACATTTTATTTAGAATAATTGCTATTTGACATGAGTGGTTTTCTCAGTATGATTCCTGAGAGTCTTTTTGAACTGTCATTCCGGTGAAAAGTCTTTACAAGGGGTGGGAACGGGTGGCTTTTCTTCAGGAAAAAAAATCCCTGAATTGTAATACTTGTCAGTTTCCAGACTGTAACTACTCTCACCATGCTGATCTCAAGTTAGTACTGTGAATCTTTACTTGAGATAAAATGCATACAATCTACTCTTGTAAACTGTGTATAAACTAGCTCCTACATACACTCACTGAGGCTCTGAGGCCTCAAACCTGATTCAGTGAGCATGGCTCTTTTTTACCTGTTTTGTTTGTTTACCTGGGAAATTTCTCTTAAGGTAATACTTGGAGGAAATTAGAATTTTGTTGAGTTTGCAAACCAACTGTTCTTGTATGAATCCCATATGTATGTTGTTAAAAAGAATAATTAATGAAAGCATATATAATCACAATCACCTGTTAATTTTCTGTATTAAGATAAAGCAATGACTTGGTCAACTTCAAATAGCAAGCAATTCTCAAAAAGAAGATTTATCTTTGAACAGCTTATCAGTGAGTCACCTGGGAACGCATGAAATACACTGAATGAAATAAGGAAAGCCGTTGAGTTATAATGGAATCTGAAAGTTGTTCACCTTCCCCTTCACTTCGCCTCCTCTTATGTAATAATCTCTGCTTCTTATCCAATACACCCCAAGTTGAGGTACCCGAAGATCAATATATCTATTGATATCTTCCTTGTGTTACACAAAATAATTAAGTATTTTCACTTTCTGTTGAGCTATGAGCATCGAAAAGAGATCATGTAAAAGGATACTGTGAATTGTATGATAGGACTTTGTCCCCAGCCATGATTAAGTGTGGCTCTTTAAAATGTAATTGTTTCATAGCTAAAGAGTAATGATGATAATCTTTCCAGTTAATTAAAGGTTAATTGTTCCTGTAAAAGATGTATCAATGATTAATCTTTGAGCTTCTTAGCCAGGGAACAAAATTTGAGCTCTTTTACTTTTGAATAAATAGGTTTAAAGGCTTAGCAAACTGTTTTTCTTATTTTTCAAAGAAATTTGACAGCAGTATAATTTAGAATGAGAAAATAAAGTACTGAATAATACACTGCAAATAAACTCTAATAATAAGACAAAAAATAAAGTGAATCAACAATCAGTAAAAGTTATGTGGGATGAATACCTGAAAGCATACTGGTGGAGGGAATTTCATATTCAAGTAAAAAGGAAAAAGAAATATTTCAAGAAAATCATACTTTAACAGCTATCTTTTGATTATTTTCCATGAAACCATTCTTTACTCACATATAAAATAAATATAACCATATTCTATGAAATGCAAAAATATAAGAAAATTATATTCCTCTTGATAGTCAACTGAAAATTATATTCCTCTTGATTGTCTCTTTTCAGTGTACTCTATGACATTTTATAAAGACAAAAACTAATCAATATTCTAGAATTCAATAAAGCCTTATAAGGGGCCAAATGAAAAACAAATAGTAGGACAATGATCATTGTTGTCCTAAAAAAAGTTCAATTCCAGTCTGTCAGTGCACTGTCTATAACTTCAGCTGGAAACGTTAGTTTTCAGTGTACTTCTTAATACTGCTAATATACCTGTATACCTCAAAACTTTATAGCTTATAAATATTTTGTTGAATTATAACATCACTTTCATTGTGTTTGTTTACACATACTGTTTTCTTTCTTTGAGAAATATATAGCATATAATTTTTCATATATCCCTAAATATATCCCATAAAATTCAAAGATCTACATGTTTTATCTCTAAATTAATTCTTGTATGGCTATTCCTTTATTAAAATAGGTGAGATTCAGGGTGCCTGGGTGGCTCAGTCATTAAGCGTCTGCCTTTGGCTCAGGTCATGATCCCAGGGTCCTGGGATGGAGCCCCGCATCGGGCTCCCTGCTCCACAGGAGACCTGCTTCTCCCTCTCCCACTCCCCCTGCTTGTGTTCCCTCTCTGTGTCTCTCTCTGTCAAATAAATAAATAAAATCTTTGAGAAAAAAAAATAAGTGAGATTCATTAGTATCAGGAAGGGTTGTTAAAAAGCAACTAGCATTCAAATTCTTTTAGGCTGCCACCAAAATGTTAACACTTCCCAAGCTATGGCTTTTATGTCAATAAAATTTGGAAATATCTCTGCCCTGTTTCACATACCCAGTTGTCTTGAAGTCTAAAAGAGATTTTATTAATAATAATACTTAGAAAAAATTGTAGAGGGTGCTATAATATATTTGTAAAATCCCAAATGACCTGAAAAATTATAATGAGTATATCAGTAGGTCCATGGTTGTATTTAAAAAACATTAACATGATATTCATATCTTGTTAAATTATATTTTTTAAAAAGCAAAATGACAAAGAAACTTTCCTAGATACTTACAGTTCCAGGGCGAGGATACGGAATTCTACCCTGATAGGAAATCAGCTGATGATTGGGCCCTTCTTTGTGCGCAAAGGGCCCATTAAACACAGTCTGTATATCAGATAAATGATACACACACACTGCTGATCCTTTAAAAACTGAGCTAAAAAAAAGAAAAAACAAAAAACAGAAAAAGATCCATTTTCTTACTTTTTTTTAACTTTTAAATACAATTTTAAAAAATAGATGGTAAAGTTTGTGATATAAAATTGATATAATTCATCATGGAAAAGTTGAATGCTACAGTACACATTAAAGCTAAAAAATTTCTATTATTTTAAAATAAGCCATTGATACATAAAGCATTAAAATATTTAATTCATCCATGGAGGTAGTAGACAATAATAAGTTATAAAAGAGTTATTAATGTTTCCAAAATATGGGACATGTCAAAGAAGTTTCTAACTACTTTATCTTAACAACAAAAAATAAACTGATGATTTATTCAAAAATACGAATTTGAATTCTAAGTCACTGTCAATACAATCTATCATAATTTAACTCCAAGAAATAAATCTCAATTAAGGGAAAACAGTATCTCTTTGTCTTAAGATTTTAAAGTGAGGATGTTCTTACATGTATCCTAAGTAGTAGCTAGAAAAGTCTGTTGTCATAGTTTATGTATTTTCCCTGTTAGTAACAGAAAAAAACAATAGGGTCCAAAAGAGATCATTACATTAACTTTGTCAATAAAATCTCATAGAATTTGTTTGGATCCTTACTGAAAACTATTTCTGTTGTCACTAAGGCAGATTGACTGAAACAAACATTTCTGATTTACATATATCTCTTAAATTAGATGCCTAATGGAAAACTTAGATGCCCACTGAAAAAAAACAAGATACATTATTAATCATTAGCATCATTGGTCAGAAATGACAATTTTGAATTTTTCAAAAAGCTATTGGGAAAAACAAACACTGTAGAAATATTTTTTTGAAACAAACATTTTCTTCTTAAGAATTTGGTTCTTTTCATTTTGTCCAATTCCTTGTAAGTTAAATCAAGACTACTTTCTCTGTTAGAACAGGAGTTAAACTGTTAATCCTGAAAGACATCTTTTTACATATTTTATAGGGCAAGTGTAAATATGATTTATAATCAAATCCCTGTGATTTTCTTTTACTTTGAATGGCCCATTACAGTTTACAATTATGCTGTGTTTGCCTCACTAGAAGAGCAAGTTTTTGCTTTATTCAAGTTTTTGCTTTATAATTGATTGTCTAATAAAATGGACCCATTACATTCTGTATTGGCCATGCCACAGCTGGAGTATTGTGTTGCATTCTAACATTCCCAGTGTAAAATGTGTAAACAGAAATATGTCTAGGAAAGGGTGAGAATATGGCAATTGTCTTGAAATAGATGACAACTGGGATTGGACATCCCGGAAAAGTTAGAAAACATTAAACCTATTTTCAAAAATATGAAATACTGTCATATGGAACATGAAAACTGGTGCAGTATTTTATTAGTTTCTGAATAGTCATCATTTTAGATCTCTCCAGAAGTAAAACTTATTTTAATAGAGGGGTGCCTGGGTGGCTCAGTCGGTTAAGCATCTGCCTTCGGCTCAGGTCATGATCCCAGGGTGCTGGGATCGAGCCCTGCATCAGGTTCCCTGCTCGGCGGGAAGCCTGCTTCTCCCTCTGCCTCTGCCCCTCCCGCTGCTTGTGCTCTCTCTGGCTCTCTCTCTCTACCTCTCTCTCAAAAAAGTAAAGAAAAAAATCTTAAAAAAAATTATTTTAATAGATATACCTAAAGTTTTAGGTGAAACATGAGTCTTTGAGTTACTTCCTTAAAACAAAATATCTTATATACTTTATTCCTGCATTATAATTAATAGTTTCCTTTCTTTGAGAAAAATAGCATATAGTCATCATAACCATTCTGTTCAAAACTATTTTGAAAGCGTTAGTTCAGCTTAAATATATTTCAGTAATCAGGCAAAAGTAGTAAAACAGGACGATTACATCCTGAATGCTATGTAAAATTAAAAGTTGAAAAGAATGTTTTGTAATAATTACTATTACTCAATAAAGTTTACTGTTTAACCCATAAGTTGTAATTTTTTAATAATTACCTTGATGTTGTAAAAATGCCATATACTAGTGTTGTCCTTGGGTTATCAGTTTCCAGCAGAAACATATCCTCTATAAAAGGAAAACATCATTCTTTTAAAGTTCCCAAATATTAACTGTATTTTAAAATTTAACCTTAAGAAAATAATTTTAACTATGAAAAGTATTATTGAGCAAGATATTTTGGCAGCATCATTATAATTTGGAAACAACTAAACGAACTCAATGATAGGCACATGGTAGAGTAAATTAAATAAAATATTATAAACACAAAAGGGTTTATAAAGACTGCAAACTTATGGAAACCAGGCTAATGAAGTAATATTAAGTGGAAAAGGCACAGTGGTATACAATATAGACTAGAACCATGTAAACCATAAAATTATATACCAGGATATAATAGGATTACCAATGAGTGTCTCTGGTTAGCAGAGCTATAGAAATATGTCTTCTTTTCTCTGCATTTTCTTTCTTTCTTTTTTTTTTTTAAGATTTATTTATTTTAGAGACAGAGTGCAAGCAGGGGGTAGGAGCAGAAGGAGAGGGAAAGAGAGAATCTCAAGCAGACTCCCCATTGACTGTGGAACCCGATGGGAGCTCCATCTCACCACCCATGAGATCACGACCATGACCCATGAGATCATGAGCTGAGCCAAAATCACAAGTTGGACATTTACCCTACTGAGCCACCAGGAGCCCCTTTTCTCTGCATTTTCTAAATATCCTTTAATGATAATATGCCACTTTTTTAAATTTAAAAAGTATTATAAATCACAATTTCTTTTTGACCTAGGGTTAGAAGTTGGAATGTGGAAGGAAACTCTTTCAAAGTGACTTTTTTTCTTTATATAAAATAAGACTTTTTGGCTTATGGTCAAAACTGCTAGTGATATTTTTATTTAATCGATAATTCCCCCAATGACAAAAAGTTTAAAGTATATTAAGGCAAAGACAAAGGTATAGGTAGTGAGGTTCAGTAATACCTAACAAAACCTGGAAGTAGATTTCTGGTAGGAAACCCCAGTTAATAATCAATTGTTACAGTTACAAGAAAAATCTGAATTTAGTGACATTTTTGCAAATAAGATTCTTTCTGGGAAATACAAAGAAAGATGCATTTATTTTCAATTCACAATGAATTTAGGACCTCTTAAGCAATGAATTAATAACGAGCAGCCTTTCTATATGTGAGCAAAAGGCTGAGCTGTCTGGCTTTCCCTAAAAAACAAGAAAGACTGAAATATCCTAAATCATTAAAACATAAACATACTTGCGAAGAATTTGGGGGAAATAATGTGTGACTAGGTTATAACACAAAAATCATACTTGGAACTTTCTTCTAGAAAAGCTGATACAAAAACTTCTGTTTCTACAATCAACACACTGGCTGGCTTTTGAAGAGTTCAACTACCTATTTCAGTTTCTATGACTGCTAGAACCAGTAGATTTTTCTATATTGTAATGCATTTGTATTGCTTATGTCATCACCTGCCTCAAAATCTGAAAACAGCCAGCAGTTTACATTTTAATGGATTAAAGCAAAATAAAAGTCATTTCTTTTATTATTATTATGTTATGTTAATCACCATACATTACATCATTAGTTTTTGATGTAGTGTTCCATGATTCATTGTTTGCGTGTAACACCCAGTGCTCCATGCAGTACGTGCCCTCTTTAATACCCATCACCGGGCTAACCCATCCCCCCACCCCCCCTCCCCTCTAGAACCCTAAGTTTGTAAAAGTCATTTCTAAATGGCACTTAGTAAACATGACCCTATGATGTGTATCAAGTTACTCTGATTAAAAAGATAACTCTTCCATGGTAGAAAGGAATCAGATTGTTAGTCCTCATTTGACCTCGAAAGTATAACCCTCCTCATGTCACACATGCTGAGAATACTTAATCCCAGGGTCACCAAGGAGGACTAAGACTGGCGCACAAGTCTAATTTCTACTCTGACACTTTCCCATCCGACCTCCATTCTGCTTATCAACTATTAATAGTAAAAATATATAGCTGTATTCTCATACAAACTGATTTCAAATCAGAATATTAGAATTTAAATACATATGAAATGCACATTCTTTTAGATAAACACAAATATATCATTATTCATATGTAAATTATGCAAGTACCTCAGTTTCTGTCTCTCTCTCTCTCTCTCTCTCTCACACACACACACACACACACACACATTCATCTCTCATGGTGAATTCAATGAACTGAATGTTTCAGTAGTGCACTCAGGGCCAAACAGATTTAAAAAACACTTAAGGAAATTTATGAACAGTATCCGGATCATTCATTCAAATTGGCAGATTATTTATGCTAAAAACATTCATGGAAAATAGACCCTCTTCTGAGAGGTTATTAAAATAGACTTTACAAATTCTTTTTTTCAAAAAACATTTTTCAATCTCACATTCATGTACCTAATTCATCGAAGTGTGTTTCTGGGCCGTCTTCATCAGTTACAGAGCACACCAGCCTCGCTTTCAAGAAGGTCGTCCACTTGTTGACAAGGCTACGCAGTCCCCCAGTGTCATTCTGAAACCATTTTGAAAACACACTTAAGACTGCTTAAATAAATATTAAAGGGCATTAAAAATTCAGCTTAGATTTGTATTACTTGAGGATTTGTTATAATCTGAAGGGTGGAAATGCTAACTACATCTGCATACCAGCAAAGATGAATATTTAGGATCTATAGTATTTTATAAAATGCCCATAGCTATACGATTAATCTTCTACAATATGGTATCATTTGAAAAGGTTTCAATATACATATGCCCTAAAGCTTTCTAAATTTAACAGTGTATGATGAAAATATCTGGAAAATGTATGGAGAACACATAATTTAATTTGCCTTAATAACTCACTGTCTTCAATATGAACATAAATTATTGTATACAGTGAAGCTTGTAGAGTCTACTGTGGTCAGGAAAGTGGGTTTATACTTATACCAAGTGGTCTTCAGTAGTTCTATTTTCTCTCCTTCATTTCTCTGTGTTATCATTTAATCCTGAGTATTTCTAATCAGATGCTTTAATATATATATTTCTCCAGCCAGGGAAGGGAAAATGGCATTTGGATCATTCACAAATAGTCTCTACTGATTTTTTTTCTGTATGCCCAGAAGCCTTTCACCCCTTCTGCAGACTTTACTGCCTTGTTCTAAATGACTAAAAAGCAGATGAGCTCCACAATCAGCGAAATACTGTAATATTTAAAAGTAAACTATTTTAAACACTGAACACTTTAAGAAACACTTTTGCACAAAGTATGCTAATCATAAATAAGTCCGGGCAAACCTATAAAACTCCTATACGAGAGGGCATCATGAGTTTTCTTGAGTTGCTATGTATACTTACTGTTTATACACAAGAACATTTTGTTTACTGGTTTTAATTAAGACTGTATTTTACGAATGTATTTCTTTTCACTGTTGTAAGACAGTTCCTCAATAACTGTCTTTAATGAGGTTCTACTGTATTTTATTCACAAGAACTGTTCTGTTTCTTTCTGTAACATACAATTTCGCTATTTGTTTTTAATACAAATGCATTAAATGGAAAAACAAAAATTTGTGTAAAACCAGGACCACAGTATTTCCTTGAATTAAGCTTTTTTATCTCGTATGACTGATGTGAATAAACAATAAATTAAAATGTCTCCTCTCAATATTTCATTCTGTAACCGTAGATAAAAGTAGGAAAATAAACTATTTGCAAAGGAAACATATTTATATGATTTGAATTTGTGTCTTTCTTCAAATTAGGAAAAGATTAATACTTACAGGACATATTCTAGCAATCATGGAATGAATCTGTTTTGTGCTTCTGCTATTGTCAGTCAGTTTCTCTTTGAAGAAGAAGTACACCTTAGCATCATTTGGATCTGTGCCATCTGGGATGACATGTGCATCCACAAACATAGGTTCTGGAAAAAAAATACAAAGACTATATATATACTCATGATGGAAATCCATCTACTGTTCATCCAAGTAGACCACGGGCATATGGCTTCTCCATCTTTGGTACAGAAGAACACTTCCATGTTCATAAGCATAGTCTAACAGTAATTGTATTCACACAACATACTGTATTTGGAATGTCAAGTGCCACAAAATATATCTATAACATAATAGCTTAATCAATTCTTTCCCTATCTGCAATACATTCTAGAAGTTCAGTAAATGCAAAAATTTTTGTGCACTGATGAGTTCTAAACAATTAAAAAGGCTTTTCTACCAGTTTTTTCCCATGGAACTGAATGATCATTTTATAGAAAAAAAGAAGTCTGTTTTTCAAAGTATAGTTTTCAATCTAGTGCATAAAAACAAATTCATTGAAGCAGAATGTGGAGCCAGGAGTCCAAGATCTGAAAAATGTTTTTTTCTTAAAAGACAGCATACTAAATGAAGGGGAAATTTTTCAAGGAAAAAAATGCAGTCATTTGAAGACATAGAGGGATTCCTTATTTCAAGAACAAAGCAAGTTTTAGAATGCTGTATTTCCAGATGTACTGGAGTCATAAATTGAAGAAGTAAATGGACAATCGATGCTTTCTTGTGCCAGCCTATCAATGAACTAAGATGCTCAACTGTGGTGATTCATGCTTCACTGTGCAATGTTAAGTGAATTGCCAAATTTAGGGTCAGCTAGAAATCATCCCCAGGGTGAAATGACACAAATCTTAGTGGTTTCTTCTCCTTCTTCTTCTTCTTTTTTATTATTATGTTCAGTTAGCCACTGTATAGTACCTAATTAGTTTTTGATGTAGTATTCAATGATTCATTAGTTAAGTATATGACACCCAGTGTTCATGATTGAAATTATACATTAAAGTCAAATGAGCATCTTTCATAATGTGAATTTCATGTGACTCCACCCAGAATTAGAAACAAATGAATAGTGATAATCATCAAGTTATCATACCTATGATTTCTGTTAAGTACTAAATAAATTATTAAAAATTATATATACCAGTTTTATAAGTTAAGGATCTAAGTATAAAACAAATAGGAGGAGTTCCTGAAAATACCTTAGTCATTATATCTGTCACAAATTTAGGAAAATTTTTAGATTTGACATTATTAAAATATTCAAGCAGACTAAATGAATAAATAGCATATTTAATTGTGATATGCTACAATTAAACAACTGGAGAAGATTCTTGCATATGAGCCTGTAAAATAAAGATCACTGTCATTTTTATTTATTAATATATCTTATGATAATTGTATGACAGTTAATAAAGAGAATATGAACTATGTACTACTTCAATTATTTATTGTCAGAGAGTACAAAATTGTTACATCATGGCTGGTTTTTTAACCATTTTAAGCTTTCTTCATTACAGAATTAAATTAGTTTAAAGCATGATTCTCAAAATGGCGAAAATGTTTCTTACCACTTAGCCATTTGGAATTGTGTTGATCAGTTCTGACTGCATTCCTCTTGGTTAAACTTCGAAAAATAGCAGCATCTGTGCCCATGAAATCTATATACATTCCAGAGAAAAGCTCCTCATCTATGAAAAAGTAAGAAAATGTCAACACAATTTTAAATGTTTTTAAGGTTATTTTAAAAATCAAGGAGAACTCACTTATTAGGTAGCTACCCACATTACAGAGTGTTTATAATTGTTGGTTTCCATTGTCCATTAAATAAAAAAATTGGATTAAACTTAATCTGGTCTCATTATTGCCTGTATGATTACCAAAACAATTTTATTCTACACTGAAATAAAAATTCCTCTGCCTATACTTAATTATACTAAAAACCTAAGTTTATACAGTGTGTATCAAAAATGGCAGAAATAATATATGTATAAATGATAACAAAATGGCCTAATTATTACTTTCTTTTAATAAGTAAAAAATACTGTAAGAGAACACTCAGTTTCTAATTTTGGCAGGAATTAACCAAGTGGGAATTAGGGCTAAGTCATTTAGTACCCTGAATCTCTACCTTCTCATCTGTAAAATACAGGAATTGGCTTATGGTCTCAAAATTTTTTACCACGTATTAAAAATTCCATGATTTCACTAAATAGATTGAAAATATTAGTTTTTATTGTCAAAATATTATTAATGATAAACTTATTTTATCATTAAAAGTATATGTTTTAATTTTTAGTGCTAGAAGTTTTCTATAAGGTAAACAAAGTGTTACTTTTTCAATTGTAATACACAATATATTATTAACATTATGCCAAAAATATAATATTATGTTAATAAGCCACATGTGGTTTAACATATTAAGCCATAAAAATCAGAATGCAGAGATAAGAAAGAAAATACATTTTAAAATTGAATTATCATCAATGGTAAAATCAGATATTTTAATCTGTGTTTGCATAACATTAGACATTGAGCTTATTTGTTAAGGTTCATATTAATTTCTAGTAAGGACAGTAAGCATTGAATGGGTATGTATGACCCTAGAATAAAAAAAGTAGTTAAATATCTATTTAAAAAAGAATAAAATGTAACAGGTCTGACCCAATGAACCACTGTGCAGCTTTTTTCTTGGACTGATGTTCTAGAATTACTCCCCTGGCTCTCTTCAGATCATGGTCATTTTGGCAGGACTGGAACATTTTGAAGCACTCCAAACTCACTGCTTAGTAATAAGCATTACCAGTTAACCCAGGATAGAATGGAGAATGAAATGTTTTTAATATGTGATCACCAGGCCATGAACTGGACCCTTACCAGTTAGCAAGTGGGTATGGCAGGCATTGTGTTGCCCAGTTCTGCTTCCTAGTAGGGGTTTGAAGCCCATGAGAACAGATTATAGGAAGATAACAAATGTTCATGAAAGCATTTGGAGCAATTTAGCCATCTCTAAAATTCTGTGAACATTTGTGAAGCATCTACACAAGTATTCTGTAGAAACAATAGTTGTTAAATTAAGATAACTTTGTAATTAATTATTTCACATTTTTGTCATACAGGATTACCACCAAAATGGTGGGTTATAAATTCCTGCTATTCAATAGATTGATTAGCACAGCTGTCAATTATCATACCTGTTTCCAAGAACAAAAGGAAAAAGGACACTCAGAGTATGGTGTGTGGCAGAGAGGGCTGATTCTAATCCTACTGCACACCACTTTATTAGTTATGTCTTAACTATTATAAAAGCCTACCTGTCTAATTGGCTTCATATCCTGTCTTAAATTCTTACTAATTTTATTTTTTTTAAGATTTTATTTATTTGTTTGAGAGGGGGAGAGAGAGAGAGAGAGAGTAGGAGTGCAAGAGCAGGGGGATGGAGAAGCAGACTCCCCACTGAGCAGGGAGCGCAACTCAGGCTAGATCACAGGACACTGGCATCTTGACCTGAGCCAAAGGCAGACACTTAACTGACTGAGCCACCCAGGCACCCCTCTTATTAATTTTAATAGCAAGTTAGGAATAATGAAGCTTCTGCTTTATTTTGTATAAGAAATTATTAATATCACTTTAAAAAAATTTTTGAGTAGGGATTTTTTTTCAGAATGTCTGTGTTGGTTTATGCAAAGATAAACTGTGCCTTTTAACTTTAATCCAAAAATCCTTTGCTTTCCAATTTTACTTCCACTGAAGAACCTCATGAGGCTCTTGATGAGTTCTTTAAGAGGTATCACCTAACTTCTTGCTGTGTTACAACGACATGAAAAATAGCAAAAAAAAAAAAAACCAAAACACCTAAATTTGAACATTGGCTTCGATACCACAACTATATTATGAAATTTGGAATTCTTCAATTCTCAATTTTTCTTCATACTTTAATATATATAAATACTTTAAACAATCTGTGTTATTTAGTGCCTTGCACTAGAACAGAAATGATCAAGCCCCATATGGCAAAGTGACATGACTACACAAATTTACTCCACAATAGCGGAGACAATATTGGAGATAATTTTAGAGGGGTAATCAGTAGAACAAAGAAAATGACAAATACAAGCCACTAAACTTCTTCCTCCTTTTTGTTTCAGTTTTTAAGGTAAGCAAATAGTTTAATGACTCTGCTAGCTTACATTCTAATGTTAATCAAAATATTAAAAGATAAGGGTGCCTGGGTAGCTCAGTCAGTTGACCATCGGACTCTTGATTTCGGCTCAGGTCAGGATCAGGGTGGTGGGGTCAAGCCCCACATCGGACGCTGTGCTCAGTGCGGAGTCTGCTTGTCCCTCTCCTTCTGCTCCTCTGCTCGCTCTCTTTCTCTCTGTCTCTCTCATAAATAAATAAATAAATAAATAAATAAAATCTTTAAAAAAAGAATATAAGAATAGAAATTGAAATCTTTTTTTTTTTTTGAAATTGAAGTCTCAAATCCTTGAAAAATGAAAGTCACTAACTAACTTCAATTTTGTAAACAAATCCAATTCTCTAAGGACAAAACTATTAAATGACTTATCACAGTTTAACAGGAAAATTTAAAATGTCCTGTTTTAAACCTTTTTTGTTCTAAACGATATTTGATGACTATTAGTGTTCACAGATCTTTGAAGTTTATTTTCATAGCATTTAACTTGAAATAAATGAAAACTCTATATATTTAGCCAGTATTATATATATATGTATCAGATCATTTCAATAGGTGAATACAGTTTTCTTCCTAATGGAAAGACTTTCCAAGACACTGCTTTTATTAAATAATATTCAGAAGCTTATCTGAAAAGTTTCTGCATCAGACATAATTGAATATCTTGTAATTTCGCTTTCTAATTTTTGGTCCCAATGATATACACATGCATTTTGTTATGCTTTCATTTGAAAGCAATACCATTTTAATCATTTGTAAAATATTACTAAAATATGAGAAAAAATGGGTATACTTAATACTAGAAAAAAAACTACAGAAAATATTGAAAATTATTTTATAATATATATCATTACGTGTATATGAACACACACTTTTTTGTAAATGTTTGACTTGCTCTAGAAATGACAGCATCATAGTAAATGAAAAAAAATACATGCTTATCACTTAATCATGAATTCTTGCAACCAAGAAACTACAATTTCTCAGCTCACAACTTTCTTTCTGTTACCTCACTCATGGACTATCATTCATGCTACTATCTCGACGGGCATACCATGTCATGAATTTATTTTCTTTAATTTCCTTTTCATTTGGTATTTCCCCCTCTTTCTTTTATTTTCCACTTACTGATCATAACAGACACTGTGTTCACATTGGGGTTGAAGGAGCAGCGTCCTTTTCCGGATTCACACTTGGAGTCAATCACAAAAACTTGGTCCTTTATTATGGAAAAAATACAAATACAGCAAAAGTAAATAACTTTATATTTAGCTAACCCAATTTGTTCTTTAGTAAAACAAAGCATCATCATAAATAATATGCTTTCCGTTTGTTTCCTTATGGCTCCTCAATTTACTTTATTAAGACTTTCTTGGCCTATATGAAGAAAACATCTGGAAATTATAAGCAAACTTCGGCAGGTTAAAGTTCTCATCCTACTACCATCCCCATAAAGCTGATCCAATAAGTTCTTCTCAAATCAATACCAGGAAAAAAAAAAAATCAATATCAGCAAAAACCACCTGGGAATCAAGGATCATTGTAAACCTGAACTAGATATGTTGAAAATTGTCCAAAAGAAGAAAATTGTCCACAGAGAAATAATGTATACAAGGATTATAATATTTCCAAAATAATCAAGACATTTCTAAAATTTATATTACCAGTTAATTTTGTTAGGTAAGCATTATGCTAGATTCAACAAAGTTGAATTCATAATTTAGATAAAAATGTTTTTTACTCATTCATTTATTTATTTAACAAGAATATATTGAGCATTTAATATATGCCACGTACCAACAAAACATTAGGAATACAGTAAATGAGATAGACAAAAATCTTTATCCTCAAGTAATTTATAATATAATGATGGAGAATATAAATATGAAAAAAGAATAAATACAGAAAATGTAGAATATGCTGGATGGTGCTCAGTGTTTAGGAGAAAAATTAAGCAGAAAATGGAACTTGGGAAACCCAGGGATTGGAGGCAATGATTCAATTTGAAATATAATGGTCAGTGTAGCCTAATGGAGAGGGAATATTTTGTTGGTGTATTTACCTTTTTCTTAAATAAAGTTAGCAAAAGCTACTACTAAAATTCAAAGACAAAATTTTTCACTTTTGTAGGTTGCATTAGATGATGGAGGATCTTAATCATCAAGCTAAGGTTTTTCAAAATTTTCCTGTATGGAAAATATTTTTGTGTATGGAAATGAAAGGATCAAAACACTGCTTTAAGAAGACTGGGCCTTACCTTGGTGTTTTAAGAAGATTGAGAATGGCGGTTTTAAAATATATATATTTTTTACAGATTTTATTTATTTATTTGACAGAGAGAGACACAGCGAGAGAGGGAATACAAGCAGGGGGAGTGGGAGAGGGAGAAACAGGCTTCCCGCTGAGCAGGGAGCCCGATGCGGGGCTCGATCCCAGGACCTGGAATCATGACCTGAGCCGAAGGCAGACGCTTAACGACTGAGCCACCCAGGCGCCCCAGAGAATCGCAGTTTTAAAAACAGACATTGGATTGAAGAAATAGATTTGCTTTCAATTGCAATAGTCCAGGAATTAGGTAATAATAATCTGACATGTCAGGATCTCAGAGATCATGGTAAGAGCAGTAAAGATATAAGAAAAGTTGTAAAGTAAAAATCAACAGAGCTTGGCAATCAATTACAAATTAGATGTAGTTAAAGAAGATGAAGAAAATAAAGATGCTTCTGAGCTTTTGACTCTTTAAAGAAAATAAAACTAGTTCATTTTTTTACATTGAATTTGATATGTTGGAAGGACATCCCTGAGATTTTAGGAAATCATAGAGCTTAAAAAGAATCACAGTCTTCTAGCCTGAAAAGGTCTTACAAAATGATCCTCTTCAATGAATTAACTCTTTAGATGAGGAAAATATAACTTGCCCAAGATCATGTAGCTAAATAATGACAAAAGTAAAATTAGAATTCAGGCTCCTGACTCCTCACTATGTGTTTTCCAAAAAATCAATATTTATACAATGACTAAACTAGACAAATAATTGAGAAAAACCATAAAATTTGGTAAGGCCAGTTGTGATTGTTTAGCCAGAGACATACATATATTTTACTAAAAATGTGAGAGTTGGCACTGCAGGAAACTGATGAAGTTGCTTAGGTACCTCTTGCTCTTCACTGAACTACTCCTCCATTGTACAGCATCCTTTCTCACACAATTCGAGTTGAGATCTTGTCACAAGGAAGACTGTAGTCTACCTGAATAATCACTAATTCAAGCACACAGCAACAATTCTCCAATTTCATCTCCTAGGAACCTACTTCATCAGCCTTCTCTCTTCTTGACTTTCTTTGTTAACCTGTTTAGATTCTGTGCTATTTAGTTCCACTAATTTTTTGCAGAAATATTAAGTTCCTTGAATCTGTGATTTTTTTTTAAATTAGAAATAGGTTGAATCTGTGATTTTTTTTTTCACTGAAACCACAACCCAGAAGGGCATGTCTATCTATACATTCTCCATACTTGTATCCAAACATCTAAGCATTTTGCAGAGGGTGATCCAACAAGGTAAATGCAACGTAATATAGATTTGTGATCAACAACACAAAATGGATCTTCTGTACTGCTTAGTAAACTTTCAAGGACACTCTTATCAGCTGGTTCTTCCATTAATAATTTCAAACCATTGACACTATAGTCAAATCACCTAACTTGTTCTCAGCTCATATGATTAACAAATGATTGATCATATGATTGCAGAATAAGTGAAGCCTTTAAATGAGACATCTTCAACTTCTCACTACCAAACACATAAATGAATATACACTAATACATTCCACTAGCACATGAGAGGAACTCTTCCTCTTACTTTAAGGTCAATCATTCCACCAATGTTTTGGATCTGATCATATCCAGTCTTCTTAGGCAACTTACACTTTTCATTATCCCCCCCTCTCTTGGATCTTATTACCTGGAACCTTTACGTTATCATTTATACAACCCATTCAGCTCCTACACATTACTCTCTGAGAATCACATTTCTTTTTTTTTTTTTT